TATATGTTGATTACATATCTGTTAATGCTGGTTTTATGAACCTAATGAACTCTGGAAATTAGTTTATGTATAGGTTCACATTGGGTATTGACTTCTATCATTGGTTTATGAGCTTTAGAACTTGCTTATTGCTGTACATTGTGTCTGCAATAGGCTGAATATTCCCAACATCTGGTATCAGAGCTAGATTTTGGATCTAGGGATTGACTGCATCCTTCATTTGATCTCTTAATTATGGTTCACTGTTTTTGGGCATTTTAGGGTTTCTAATTCGATACTGATTATTGGTTNCTGTGCATTGAATAAGTTTGAATCACACCGGCACACACATCACATCGAAATTTAAGTGATCCAATTGATTCGGTGTTGTGTTTCATTTCTGGACATTGTTTTTAACTCTGCATTCATATTGTGTGTTGATCATCTGGAAAAGATTTTTTTTTCAAAACCTTTCCTGTTCAGTCCATGAGTACGAGCCACCCTTTTACAGAATCTAGTATAGGTTCGAGGGTCGAATTATCGCTATTCGATGGAAATGGGGACTACTCAATTTGTAAATAGAAAATGAGGGCCATTTTGGTCCAACAGAGAGTTGCTATTACTCTCGATGATCCTTTGACTTTTTATGATGAGTTAAAAGCTAAACCTGATGAAATAGAAGAAATGAATGAAATTGCATATAGCTCCATAATTTTGCATTTATCTGATAACATATGTTAGACAAGTTGATCATGCTAAAGATGCTAGGACGTTATGGACTGCTTTAGATGCCTTATTCTTGACTACGATGTAGTTCTCGAAACGAGCTTCTAGATGACATAAGTGATTTGTGGATTCGGTTAATATACGATCGTCGGCGAATTTTTAAAATTAGCATATTATTGAAATTCTCGTAATTTTTGCTATGATTGGTTGTTTCACGCGCCATTAACGAACAAAAAATTAGGTCATGAACATTTCAAAATAGTGTTAAAAATGTAATATTTCGATTATATTTGATTTCATTTGACATTCCATAAAAACAACTTCAAAATTTTTAAAAAAACAAAAATAAAAAATTTTGTGGAGACATTTGACCCCACATGATCCCACTTAGGCCGCCCCTGGCAAGGCGTCATCACTTATTATTGCTTCAAGTTTATTGACGAGGTGTCATTGTTGATTAAAGTTTATTGACGAGAAGTCATCGTTGTTTATTATCGGTAAAAGTTCATTGGCGAGGAGTCATCGCTTATTAATGCTTTTAAGTTTATGGACGAGGAGGCATCATTGCTTAATTATTATTGCTTCAAGCTGACGAGACATAGTTGAGTTTATTGACGAAAGGTTTATCAGCGAATGCGTTTACACGTGTACAAAATAAAAGAGATCTCATCAGATTAAAAAAAAAAAAAAAGGAAAATCGTGCTGTAAAAATAATGGGATCCAATTAATTTACAACTTGACTATGATTTGGAATCCCACTCCAAATTTTTTTATTCACAAATTGTTAAAGTTTCATTAACTATGGATCAAAGTGAATGCTTATCAAAATCATATTAAACTCTCTGAGTTCAACTGAAAAATCGTGAACAAATCCGATTACAAGCTAAAAATTTAAAAAAAATTAGTCAGTTCTACGTTAGTGCAAACGATTCAGTACTAAAAGCAGATCGATTTTAAGTAAATTAATTAGTTTGCAATTAGAACCAACGGGTTTTGAGTCCCTTGTTAAACCTCCATTTGACAAATTTATAAATCATTTATAAAAAGGGATAGTAAGAAGAACATTAATAAATAAGTAATAGTTATGGATACGTGATTTAATAAATTAGTTGATAAACAAAAACTACAAATTTTGTAGTCACATAAAGGATAATTTCGTCTTCAACAATCTCAAAACAGTACTTTGGTCTTTAATTAATTGATTAGTGGGATTCCATTTTGATTAGTGTGTCAAATCAACTGTAGTTAGATAATTAGTAAACTGATTAAGATAAAATAATAAGCCCCTGTTTGGCCTGGATTAAAACTCAATTAAAATTTCAAGTCAAAGTCAACAATTAATTTTAATCATATTTCACGGGATCCACAACTTTTCAATCATAAATTTCATCAATTTTTATTAAAATTTACTAAAAATCTTATTTTTAATATTTACCAAACATGGGCTAAACCATACATTTTGATTTTCTCAAAGTGGACGTATCTATAGGGAATGGATGGAATAAATAGTCCTCGGCGTGTACGTTTGATTGGCTCTAGTGGATGCTGACGATGCATACCAGTACCTCGTCCACGAATAAATAAAACTTAAATTTTTATTTATATATTTCTTCGATAACTTAAATTTTTAAATGAGATAATTGACGTATTGAAGAGGTAAAACCTGTACTATATACCATATAGTGGCAGGCAAGACATATAATAGTGGTAGGGTTATCTCAAAAGTTCAGAAGTCCCTCCCTTGAGGAGGGTCCATCTTATGCCCTATCTTTCATTGGACCAACAAAAGTTGATCAAAGAGCATGCATTTATAGAAAATAAATCGGAATAATACTCGCATGGTAACATGACACATTTCAATTGTGGAAAAAATGTAATAGCATTTGAATTATTAATTAGATTTTCTAATCGAACCAGTCTCTCTTTCCCAACTAATAGTAATTTTATTATCTCTAAACCCACAAAGAAAAAAATTAAAGATTATTGGAAAGGATATGGTACATACGGATGCTCACGTAATGTGAAACTCCAATACGTCCCCTCACGCACAGCGTAGATTATGCCAAACATTTGTGAACAAATCGATATTGAGTGCACCAACATTGCAAAATTGAGTCTGCTCTGATACCATATTAGAAAGGATATTTGATCTAACTTAACCTAACAAAACGGCTTGTTAGGAGATAATTGCCCTCACATTATTAAGTAGATAATGTAAATATCACCAATCAATGTGAGACTCTAATATATATGTCTAAAGAAGAGGCGACCCTCGATAAAACGAAGTCATTCGTGATGTATATCATAATCTTGATCTTTTAACTGTCTTGAACTATAGTATTATATCTTGATTGTGTCTGTTTAATGAATAAGAAGTTTGCGTGAATTTTAAATATTGTTTTTACGTGATTTATATTGTAATCGTAGTCTTTTAGATGTCTCGAACTACTACTCATTCTATTGCATTCTAATTGTGTCGATTTTATGATTGAGAAGTTGTAAGATGACAAGAAAATTACGCAAATTTTAATTTTATACAATTTTCGACGAAAAGAAAAGATGAAGACGACAAAACCACAAAAAAAGCTTAAAAAAGAAAGGCTAAAAACGACACATAATTCTTTAATATAGTAAATAGATTTTCTAATCGAACCAGTCTCTCTTTCCCAACTAATAGTATTTTTATTATCTCTAAACCCACAAAGAAAAAAAATTAAAGACATTATTGGAAAGGATATGGTCCATGCAGATGCTCACACAACGTGGAACTCTAATACACGTCCTCACGCACAGCGTGGACCATGTTAAACAACAGTGAACAAATCGATATTGGGTGCACCCAACATTACAAAACTGAGCCTGCTCTGATACCATATTGGAAATGATATTGGACCTAACTCAACCTAACAAAACGGCTTGTTAGGGGATGATTGCCCCCACCTTATTAAGTAGATAGTGTAAATATCACCAATCAATGTGAGACTCTAATAGACATGTCTAAAGAAGAGGCGGCACTCGATAAAACGAAGTCATTCGTGATGTATATCATAATCTTGATCTTTTAACTGTCTTGAACTATAGTATTATATCTTAATTGCGTCTGTTTAATGAATAAGAAGTTTACGTGAATTTTAAATATTATTTTTACGTGATTTATATTGTAATCGTAGTCTTTTAGATGTCTTGAACTACTACTCATTCTATTGCATTCTAATTGTGTCGATTTTATGAATGAGAAGTTGTAAGATGACAAGAAAATTACGCAAATTTTAATTTTATACAATTTTCGACGAAAAGAAAAGATGAAGACGACAAAACCACAAAAAAAGCTAAAAAGAAGAAAGGCTAAAAACGACACATAAAACTAAAGAAAGAAAAATAATGTATATATTACGTACCAGCTTCAAAAAGGACTGCCTTTCTGTTGCGTATTAGGTAATGAAACAGCTGCCAAATCATTTGTTTTGTTGCTGTGTGTAACAGATGCATCCCCGACCGTTCCCTTCCAACCAAAAGAAACATTTGAAGATCAGTGTTTACAAAATTTTATGGGTTAGGTTTTAGTACAAGTAAATAAAATTTTCGTATCCTTAATTAATAACTTAAACGTTTAGATAAAGTGTAATAAAGTTGGGCGAGTAAGGCGCTCTATGTTGGCCTTTTTAGAGAGTACAAACGTGACTCTTTAAACTTTATCGTTTGTATGAGTTGACTTGTGTAAAATTCTTTTTAATTGTTACTAATGAAAAATGGAAATTGTCGAATTTATCAATTCAATTGATGGAAGAAGTTCAAATCGATTCGATAGATAGAAAAATTAAAATCACACGTTTTAATTTTTTGTTTAGAATTTAACCGTTTTAATTATTTTAATCTATCATTGACATTCTCAAAAAAATTTACGTCTTTCAAAAATAAAATAAAACTACTACTTAATTCTTATCCTTTTGTACCATTAATTGACGGACTCAAATCGCAACTTGCAAGTGTCAAGTGCTTCCCACGGTACATTTCGATATAAATAAAGATGTAGGCCCCACTTTTCATGCAATGACGAAATAATTCAATAAATAAATAAACAGAAAATCCATCTGTTCCCTCTCCCCTATCTATATATAACCACCTCAACCCATTTTTCCTTCCTCAATTCACCATCCCACCACCACCACAGTCTCCTCCCCATAACCATTTTTTTAATTTCACGAAAATTTCGATTAGAGTAAAACTGAAATTCTTCAAACAATCCTAGAAACGTTTTGACAACACCCTCATATTTTTCTTTGTTAGGCTTGAAAATGGGTATTGTGGAAGCTCCCACAGCATCATATTCATCACCTGCACAGCACTCGCCATGGCATTCACCGGTGCCATACCTCTTTGGAGGATTGGCTGCCATGTTAGGACTCATTGGTTTTGCTCTCTTGATCCTGGCGTGTTCATATTGGAAGCTTTCGGGCTACCTCGAGAACCAGGGAGAAACGGAGAGGGATCTCGAGGCCGGGGAGGTTAATGGCAACGTGAAGGTGGAGCCACCAGTTTTCGAAGAGAAGTATCTGGTGATCTTGGCTGGCCAAGAAAAGCCAACTTGCTTGGCCACTCCTATGTCCAGTAGAGCATCATCTTTTGGCAGTAAAAGTAGTAGTAGTAAATCAACAGAGGCATCAGAGGAAGACAATGAAGAGAAGAAGAAGCAAAAAAATGATGGAAATGTAGAATTGGTAAACATGGAGGACCATGAGGCAGCAAATCAGGTCCATTGAAATCTTTTTTTGTAGAACCCTTCGCTATCTCGACTGCGCCATCGAAAGCTATAAAGAGGTCGAGCGCACATCTTTTGAGCGACGAAACTAGATTAATGGACTAGGTTTTGGTATTCCTTCTCGAATTCTAGTTCTCTTGTTAATGGAGATGTCACATTTGAGAAAATTACTAGAATTTTGTATTTACTTTTGGATGTTCAAACAAATCAAACTTTTAGGTAAAATAATTCAATTAGCATCAATATATTTAGGTTTTAAGAATCTCGTCATAGCACTCATTTATAAAAGTTGTTCCAATATCAAACTTTTATTGGAAAAATAAATTCGACGTGTACTTGACGAGGTAAATCGAACTAGGCATTTGATGTATGAATATTTTGTTTTAATAAATATTGTAACATCATAAAGTGGTAGCTAGTGTGGTACACAACAGCATGCATTGTCTCGTTGAGTGGGTGCATTATTGTGGATTTTGCAAAGGCTACATGCAACTATGGTGGAGTAATTAATTTTAAATTGACTAATGAGCATAAAAGGAGTTCATAATTGCAATTATATAACATTACTAGGAATATTTTACAATTTGATAATGATTTGCTGACGTTTTAAAATATCTACTTTATATAAAAGGATATTCAATTCTTAATTCTTTGAGGATGATTATGATTAGCAAGGTAAAATGAATCGGGTTGAAGTGGCAGCTCCTTCTTTCGGCCCATGTCAAGTTTTATGTTGGGCTTGACACTATTCAAGTGTAAGGTGTGTTGAATTGGTCATCTCCTTCAAGTGGAGCCATAATGGGCCTTATTTCGTTGAAAATGAATGACCCACACAACTACAAGTGCGTTTGTCTAGTATTTATTATATTAAAACTATCTTGGTCCCTAACTTTGACTGTTCAATTGTGAAAATTTTAGGGTTTTACACCTTGATTCATCCACTCTTGAATACAATGTTTGGGGCTTTTATTAATTGTTGGGCCTCTGGATTTCAATTCTATAAAAGTTTTCTTCAAAATTGGGAGCTAGTAGTTTTCTGTTGTTCGGCTTCTTTACTGTTGGCAAATAATGATTTCACCGTGTTATAATTTAAAATAATCTTTTGCGGTGAATAAACGGCTAAGCAAAATACCAACTTTCTTCAAAATGAACGGAATAAAACGAAAATGGTCGAGGCAAAAGTTCCACTATTTCTCCTTAAGACGTTAATGCCCCGCATTGGTGCGATGGTCTTCCAGCACTCGTTCTCCAAGATACAACGACCTCGATTTGTAATAGTAGCACTCCAAATTACAATACCCGACAAACCTACTAATGTTTTTGATCTCTTTAAAAATTGGAGGACTAAAATGCACGAAAATAATATTCGAGACTGAAATGCACAATATAGAATAATACAGGATGGAATGATTGTATTTTGCAAGAGAGAAAATCAGGAAAGATTTTTGGAATGAATAAAATCTGGGTTATGAGGACCTTTATATAGAAATTGAAAAGTTATATCCATAAAACACAACAATCGAAAAGTTGTATCTTCAACGGACACAACCCGTTTGGACGGGCAATTTACTGTCAACCGTCGTTTCTAGAAGCCGCAATGTGTCGCGTACAAAAAATTTGGGAAAATATAAATAAATATATTATTATTTTAAATTATAAAATAATATAATTCAAATATTATTTTATCAAAAATTATATACCACCCTAGGGGGATGTGCACGCATGTGAGCTTTGGCTCAAGCTACTAACACGTAGTCATTTCCCCTTCAAAGACTATTGATATCTCTTTGGACCAAAACTCAAGTCTCAATCTTGAGCAATATAAAATGGATTCTATTTTTCTAATTTTCCAATGTGGGATTGTCATTTTTTCAATTTCCTACCAATTTTATTCTCAATTTATTTTAGCTTCAAATTGTCATTCTTTTAACCTTAATTTCTCATTCACCCTAAATTAATTTTAAGAAAATAAATACATTAGATTAATCTACTCACGGAGTAGAACAAACTCGGCCAAAGAAATCTTTTATCCAACTAACATGACCCACTAAAATAATTGGTCAAAATTGGTCAAACCAACTCATTAAAACCAATTTTCCAACAGGTTACACACAAAAACATGAAATTGTGGAAGTTTTTCTGTATATGCACATATATACATGAGGTAACACGAGCCGAGTCTGAAACAATTTTAACAATGGCTATCTCGTTTTGGCAAGTTACTACTGAGAAATACTGCACTTTTGGTTAATGTTCTTCGTTTCGCCATTAAAGGAGCTCCATGAAGAAAGCCTAAGCTTGTATGGAGAATGTTGACCTGAGTATGTATCGCATAATCTTAGCCGTTGCTTTGGCCTTAGCAGATTCCGTGGCTTGGTAAGGAGCCTTCGTCTCCAATTGAATTCTGTTTTATGTGACAAAACGATCTTCTTCTATCAATCCTTGTTTATGTGCAGTTCTCAGCTTTAGTAGTGTCAGCCGATTCGAATCACCTGCAAAAGTGTATGAATCAGGTAAATTCTTCCATTTCTCCGTTTCTTCCTTTCTGCTTGACTGCCTGCTGCTTTCTCTGTGGGCTATTAATTCTTGCAGTCAGGACCTTTCTTTTCTCCTGAAAAATGAGGAAAAGGACTCTAATGAGATTTAAAAAGTAGAAAATTATCCTAATTTGTTGTCAAGAAGAAAATTTTGTCGAAAATTTTATTTATGCACTTGAAAATAAATGTTTAGGCCAAAATTCATTTTTTCTCTAACTCATGTCCAACCGCACGTTCTCCTATAAAATAATTTTACATATAAACCATTTTTTTAAAAACTTTTTAATCGCATATTCTTTAAAAAATCATTATTACAAAATTTATTTATTCCAAAAAATGGGCTCAAACAGGGGCTAGAGATTTATGACTGAATTAGCTTCCATCAGATATCCTAACCATTTTATGCATCAAATATGCATACAAGAATCTCAGGTTAAATGTATATATGAAAATATGAATCTTAGGTTAAATTTATGCATGAAAATCTGCATTCTAGACTAAAAACAATTTAAAAATCCATTAATAGGGCAGGTTCACAAAATTATGCATGTAGGTAGCATTGGATAAAAAATAAGTTAATCTAGTGAGAATAAACGAGATTCTTCAATAATGACAAAAACTCTTTTAAAAGTCATGTCTAGTACATTTATAATTTGGCAAGATGACAAGAGAATAACATTATTCACATAATTTACAACACCAATAAAGCCTCTCCACCTTATATAATTCCCTTCTTCTACTCCTACAGATCCTCATAACTTCTGTTACTGCATACTGTATCCAGTTGAGTAATTTTGGCACATTTCTTCAGATTTATGAAGAACATTAGCAGAAATATCCCAGGAGTTTGAGGATGCTGAATTGACATCAAGTTCATTAGACAACCATACTAGGTTATATAATTTTGAACCATCCATATCTTTGAAACATTCAAACTCATCAACCACCATCTGATTTTGTGTAGGCATAAAACCAACATCAAATTCTGCTTGAGTGAATGCCGAACTAGGCTGAATTCCCGTGTTCGTGTTAGTGTTTGATTGCCCTGAAATATTTTCTGTGGATGGTATTCCATTGATATAATTTCCAAGCTCAACTACATTCAAATTGCTCATATTGAAATAATCTTGCTGCATCGGAATGTCTCGGTTTTCCTCCAAGTACTGGAAGTTTTGAACCATCTTTTCTTGCAGAGGGTTCAACTTGGAGAAAAATGCAGGATTATAGTATAAAGAAAAGGGATTTTGAAGGGTCTTAAGTTGCATGTGAAGCTGAAGTCTTTCTAGGGCTGTACTGCCCAAGTTTTGAAAATTTTGGCTGTCATCTATACCATTTGAATCCTGACCTGAAATGGACAGTCGATTTCGGTGAGGTTGTTTGTGCCTTCCCAACAGTTTTTTCTTCAACCTAGTGTTCCAGTAGTTTTTGATATCATTGTCTGTTCTTCCAGGCAGTTGGGCAGCAATTATGGACCATCTGATCAGATGAAAAATTTAAAGAATCAGCCTCTATAGCAAATTACAATAAGGTTGATCAGGCAATAAAAAGTAGATGTAAAGACTAACAAAAAACTTTCAAATGAAACTTGTGGACGCTTAATGATTCTGTAAACTTACAAGGTCGCCATAAATTTCCCAATATATGAAGAATTTTTCCGAGAACCTTTTTTTAAGTGTGTGACACATGAGAAAACTTGTATTATCTTTCTTCGTTATAGGGAAAACCTGTATAGTGACAAGTGTAGGCTACTCTTAGCTAGAGATTCCTATATGAACACTGTTTGCTTTGTTTGATTTTTATTTCATATTGCTCTCTCGAGAAGGTATCAGTGCTTAATCCGTAAAAAATTGAGTCCTAACGAGGATGCACATGTTATTCTTCAAACAAAAGCATCATAGACACTTGCAAAAGGACAACTAGCTAGTTCTATCTGAAACTCAGGGCAAGTATTGCATTTTTTATTTTATTTTTGTCTGTATTTCTCTGCATGTGCTGGAGGTTTTTTCTGCAATAGAGAGAGAGAGAGAGAGACCTGCTGCCAATGCTAATATAGAGGCTACAAATTATGTTGTCTTCTTCCTCGCTGAATCCGCCATGTTTGAGGTTAGGTCGCAGGTAATTCAGCCATCTCATTCTACAACTCTTTCCACATCTCTTAAGCCCTGTACATACACGTATAGAAACATGTGATGTATACCCCCCCACACACACGCGCATAGAGAGAGAGAGAGAGAGAGAGAGAGTTGCATATATACCAATTTTCTGAGGAAGAGCAATCCAATTGCCACCAGTACCATATTTCTCAATATAGGTCTTGAGTTTTGCATCTTCTTCAGAAGACCATGGTCCTCTCTTCACGTTGGCTTTGTCACAACATGGGGCTCTTCCCATCTTTTTCTCCGACTTGAATCGACAAACAATTTAACTCTTGGGGGACTTTTTCGAAGCCGAGTTGCTTTCTCAATCTTTCTTTTCGAATTCTCTCCGAACTAAACAACACCAGATAGAAAGTTTTCTATGATTGCTGAGGAAAATTGCAAGAAGGGAAGACCTGTATATATAGGTGGACAAATGATGATTGTGATACTTACAAGAACCAAAAAAGTCTTACCATCTAATATAGGGTTTTTGCATATCTCTCTCTAGCTCTCTCTCTCTCTCACTCACACACACACACACTTATGGATTAGTTAGTAGCTCAAATTCTGTATTGTGTAGAACATGACAAACAACTGCATAAATTTCACTTAGACGCAAATATTAAAATCATTAGCTTTTCTTGATTTTCAATAATTTATTAATGTAAGGAGATAATGGTCCTGCAAAAATCAAGAAAGAAGCCTCCCTTCTCTTATCTTGTCGTCGAATAATTATTCTTGTAAGATGGTGCAACTATGCAATACGCTTTAGTCAAATAGCTCAAACTCTTATTTATTAATTAATATTGCTATCTCCAGATGGTGACTCATTTGACAATACCAATCTTAAAATTCAACTTGTTTGAGCTTTAGAAAGGTGGATTTCTTATTTAAACTTAATTTATGAGCCGTGATATATATCATATTGCATTTTCAGGTTCTATCTTAAAAGATCAACTTCCTTTTTAAGATTCAACAACGAAAAATAGCTTAAATGTTGTTTGCAGTAAGATTATTGTATATTTTCTCCACAACATAAAAAACTAGAAAGAAGGCAAGAGATAAAATAGTTTAAAAATCTATCTAGAGTGACGTTGCACAATAATGAAAAATGCGACATAAGACTACACATGAAAATGTAATTTTTCAAAAGATTAGGACATGCTTGTGAAAACGTCATATGGAATTCATTTTTATAAATAATAATAGTTAGCCCAAAAAATATATTTATCGTTATTTCAAACTCTAATCATTTGTTAGTATCTTATAATATTTGAAGCTTGTAAATATGTAATTCTTAGTTGAAAATTGTAACAAAACCACAACTCTGTGCAATACCTAACCAAAGTTTTCGAATATTAAGATCAAAGTTTCCATACCATTTCCTTAAAGTTTTCAAATTTTATTAAAAAATAAAAAAGAATAGCAAAACCCTTTTATTTTTTTATTTTTGAAATGTTGCAATCTTCTCTAGGTTTTCAAAGCAATTCATTTATGAAATAAATATGCTAATATTTTTTTTTAAAATCTGTATACCAAGTTGAAATTTCTCTTAATTAATTCTGTAATTTTCTTACCAACGTGTTGATCAGTCGCTGATTACGGCATAGCAAGTCTTGTTGGCATAGTCTAAAAGCTAGGGTTTTATATTAATAAAATGAAAAGAAAACATTTTAATATGAAAAGTTAGGTAAAAACAATTCAGAAATTGGCCTTAAAAATTCAAAGCTTTTAGAGAGGAGCCCTCCACTGATTGACCTTGTTCCCCAATATAATACTTTCTTATGCATTTTTCTTATAAAACAAGAAGAAAACTATCAGAATTCAAAAAGATTGTAATATTTAAATTATCAAATTGACTCATATCTGTAGTGAGAAGAAAAACCAGCTTCTGTTTGTCTCTTCAAGGCTAGAATCTCCTTCTATAAAATATGTGTGTACTCTCTCTCACTCTCTCTCTCTCTCTCTCTCTCTCTCTCCATTGACTCTGCATTCATGCATCATCAAGAAAAACCAAAAACTTTTGATCTTTTTTAGGAGAGCTGGTGAAAAATATTCTTGATTAACAAGATAAGAAAGGGTCACCAATAGGCTTATAAATCAATATCTACATAGCAAATAATTGTTGGAAATATTGAAGAGGAGAAGATGAAGATATAAATTTGAACAAGATGAAATGAAGAATGGGGCTCGATCGTGTATATGATACGCTGTCCTAAAAAAGATATTTGCCTCCTCTAATATGCTTTTAAGATTTCTGACAAATAGTTTAGATGATCGACAAGCCTTCAAGAAATAAGCACAAAAGCAAAATGATTCTTTCCAATTGAATATATGTATTAGAATGGGGAAAATCAAGTTTAGAATGAATGATGATTTCTAATGTTGTTTTCTTATGTTTGAAATTGAAAATCTATCACCTATTTATGAATTTCTAACATTATACCATGAAAATGTTCCAAACATTTGTGAAAAGTTGAGAACTTTTTACCAAAAGACACCAAAAATTCAATTGAAAAATCAAACCAAAGGCTAAATTTTTAACCATGTGTCCGTATGGCTATATCCTTGCGTACCTATAGTAGAAGCAAAATTGTTTCAATTTCCTGCAAACAATTTCTTGTGTATACAAGACCATTTGGTCCGTGCTTACACATGGTTAAACAGAAATCACCCAAGATTGCCTTCCAATTTCATCATTAATTCATTCATATTTCAACCCAAATTTTGAATAACAAATAATTATAATATTTATATAACAATAATTATTAAGGATGATTGTTGCTAAAACTAATTTACTTAGCTGAAAACGGGTACGTGAAGAAATTTTGAGTAGGACTACATGAATAATTTTTAATCAATATATATGATTCATTGCTAGATTTACGAGAACATGCCAAGCAAATAGATCTTTAGTAATGACTATTGACTATGTTAGTTTTGATACATCTTATTGAATATGTTGTGTTCTTGTGAACTGCTGTTTTAACATATAACATCATGTCTTAGTATGGTATCAAATATTATTAAGTTTCGTTCGATCAGTCTAGCTAAAACTCAAATGAGCGCAAGAATTTCAAAATTGATATTTTCAAAATGAGTAATCATCTTGCAAGTGAACGTTAGGAGTATATCCTACATCAAATGAATATGAAAATTATATTGTTATGCACTATCCCAATCGTCACCCAACGCCGCCCATACCCCACCTCAAAGATGGAAATATAATAATAAGTAAATAGAGAAATAATATATTGACTTGTTATCGAGCCTGGCCCTCCAAATTGACAGTAGCGGGAAGCGTAAGTCATTCAATGCCTAAAGTACTAACGAAATTTTTTTCAACTTAGCTGCTGCAGTAGGCCTACAAAATATATTTTTCTATATAATACATAAGACCGTCTTGGCGCGAATTCCTACCAATTTATTCAAAGTTATGGACAATCGATTCTCAACTTTTGACAAATTAAGCACTTAATTCTCTATTATGAAATCGTACTTCTTAATTCTATGTTAATTTTTTTCTTATACAAACAAATAGCTAATTATAAATGTACTTGCGATATATTTCTAGGGGGAATATCCGTTTAGAATATTTTTAGTACGCGATACTAAATATTACAAGTATGAGCAGTATTATAAATAATATTTTAATTTTTCTTTTTTAATATTGTTGGATTTTAAGCACAAAAGAATAGAGAAATCAACACAAGTATTTAACGTGGTTCAGCGATGTGTCAACGTTCACAAGAAGCGAAGCGGAGATTTTATTCAGTATGAATAATATAATTACATCATTAGTATTTATATCAACCCTATCCCAAACCCAAACTCATTCAAGACTTTAGGGCCCGTACAAGAAAATACAAATGTACCATACTGCAGGGCCGCACCCCCAACTTATTCAGCGTCCCTGACAAACAAATAGTGAGTTAAACCCACAAGGCCGATACCAGAGCGGAGCAGAACTTATGTTACACTCTATATGAGCCACATATACAACAAATATTATTTAATGATATACCATTTCAAATTGTCGTAATCAGAGGTGTCTAGACTTACACAATTTCAAATAATTAATATAGCAACTTGAGAGCCCTAAATCATATATATTAGGTTATGGCGTTCAATCTTAATTAAAAAGTTAACCTTATTTAATGAAGTAACTCAAATCTTTCTATTCTAGTTATTGTTTTCATATTTAGC